ATCTGGAATAATAGGTCTATCCTATAGGTCTCCTAACTCTCCTATATAAATAAAACTTGGGTCCTATATTTCACAGAACAATAAATAAATAAATAAATATAAAAATATATGTTTTGTCTTCCCACGAACCATACCGCCTTTATACTGTGATTAGTGTGGGTAAAACTCTAGTAGTTTTACTGCATTGCTGTGGCCATCATTCAAGAGTTTTAAGCTGGATTCGTTGTGTAATTTGTTTACTCACAAAATATGCTGAATCCATATAATTTTTTGCTGTGTATACTATTATATTTCCTTCATAAACTATTTGAGGCAGTGAGAGCATATGTCAGATTAACAATCTGAATTGAACTGAGCCAAACAAATGTCGACTGGAAAAGATTAGAGAAGACAATGTGAACAGTGGATCCCACTTGTTCTGCAATCCAATTTGGACAACTCCTAGTCCTCCGACCAACCAGATTCAATATCTCAAGTAAGTAAAATGCAATTATTTTAAATTTTATTCAACAATATCTCTGTTTGTTAATAAAATCCATTCATTTATTGAATATCTTGTCTACAACGCATTCACATTGGGAAGGCACTACTATACACACCCTCAGTAGGGGCAATAGCAAAATTAAATTGATTGATAAGAAAAACAACACAAAGTCTCTTAATCAAAATTACTTTGATTTATAATAAAATATTACAAAATCTCGTAACCAATGCTACTTTAATATATAACTAAACATCACAAAATTTCATAAGTAAAATTAACTTAGATCATAACTACAAATATTACAAACGTTTTATAACTAACTACTATAAAATGTCATAACTAAATTACCACAAATTTAATAACAACAAAATCTATGACTAAACACTAACATAATTTAAAACAAAAACCATAATGATTCATAACTATGACGTATGATACACACTTTATTATCATAGAATTTTCCAACACATGAATGATTTGTCCCTGCAATTGTATGAGAATAGACGGCCAATTAACACAAACTCATACTGTTTACCCCATGTCCAACAATTAATAGTAAGAAATTGTTGAACACGTAGCCATTACCTTTTAAAAATATGTGAAGAAATGGTCACTCTTCCTCAAGATGGAACTTTCCAACTACCAATTACCAATTACTTTCCATTTGATAATGTTGATATTTACAATATATATACCTCAAGATGTATTGGTAATGCAATTCTAACACATCAAATAGTAAGTAAATTTGATAATCAAGAAAAGAGATTTGGAATGGATCGGGGAGGATAGAAACCAGTGTTACGCAGAAGAAAAGTGGGAAGTCAACTGAGAGATACCACGGAGGGAGGCTGGATTACCATTTTTTTGGACAACATTCCTGACTCAATGGATTCCAAAAGTTTATTCACTCTCTTTCGAAAGTTTAGCTTAGTTAAAGATGTGTTTGTTCCAGAAAAGTGGAGGAAAGCTTCAAATTCCAGATTCGGGTTCGTAAGATACGATTGTCAGGTGGCTACTAGGGTGGCGATACAGAAAGTAGATGGTTTGTGGTGTGGGAACAAGGCACTGAGGGTAAAACGTGCAGAATATCAAAAGATTCTGGCAGAAGGGTAGCAGAAGCCTAGGGGGCTGAGCAGAGGAGATGAAGTACGAGTGTAGAATAGATGGGTGCAAGCACTGAAATGTACTGGTAAGGGAGACCAGAAATTCTATGCAGAGGTATTACTAAGTGCAGATGCCAAAGGCAGAGAAAGGGTGGTGATAAAGGCTCAAGCGGAAGGGAACGAGTGGAGGAGTGAAAGTTTAATAGTTTAACTGAGTAGCTTTTAGCTTTCAAGGATTTCAGGGAGGAAATGATAAGTACGGGCATGACGGATGTAGTTGCAAGAGAAGGGGGAGGCAAATTGGTGCTTTTAACTTTTCCCTCGGCAAAGCTCATGCAGGAAGGTAAAAGAGAGCTGTAAGGATGGGGAGAGAAGTGGTGTGACTCCATCAACGAGTGGGAAGAAAGCCAGTTTTTCGAGCAAGAGAGGTATGTATGGTTGCACTGTTTTGGCATTCCGATCAACCTATGGAGCACCACGACGGTTCGAAGCATAGGAAGTTATTGGGGGGAGGTAGTTCAGTTTGAGGAGGATTTCAACAATCCATTAACTTTTCAACAAACCAAGGTTAGAGTAATACGAGATGTCTAGAGTGGATTAATACAACAGTTGTTCTGGAGCACAAAGGTTGTCAAATTCCAATTAGAGTCTGTGAAGAGTTGCCTAGGTGCTTATTTTCTGGTCCTTCTCAGAGCAATGGGAAAGATCACGGTTGGCTGCATTCCAAAGGCATAGAAGAGGAAGATCAACTGTCTGGCAATGGAGGACGAAGCAAGTATACTAGGGAAGCGTTTGAAGGAAGAGAGGGGTTGGTGAGTGATGGATTTGAGGGGGCTAGTAGGGTAGAGGAGACTGTGATGGACAGTTCTGAAAAACAGGTTACGGATAATGATGGAAAGCAAGCAAACAAAGTGGTAGCTGTAGGGGGGAGCGTGGGGAAGGTCTATATCGGTGCAGGTTCCAAGGCTAGGGGGGTGGAGAAGAAGGTCAACTCTTCCAAGTCAAGTTAGAACGAAATTCAAGTTAGAGATGAGGCAATGTGTAGCACAGGCCACTTAAGAGAGTTAAGTGGGCCAGTAGAAGCAAGGCCCACTATAAATTTAGAAGTAGTAATTGAAGGAAAGCAGCTGGGGATTGAGCCCAACAGACTAGTGCAAGAGGTGGTGTCGGATCTGAGTGACAATATGGCCCAAACTCAACTTAGGCCTAATGCAACCCAAACAACTCAGATAAACTTGGCCCAAAGGAATGCAAAAGTGGGTAATATAAAGGAAGGGGCAGTGCAGAATAGGGGAAAGACTTGGAAGAAAGGAATAGAACGAGGGAGAGGGGTGTTTGGCAGACTGGGTTTTCAGAGGGGAGCAATTTTTAGAGCTTCGGCAGAGGCAGCAACTTACCTAACGGCTAATAATCTGAGCCAGGCAGTGAACAGAAGGAGGCAATTGGTTGAGGAGGCCAAGGCAACTGTGAGACTAGGCACAATGTTGGGAATGGATTGCCAAGGCAAAGATGAGGAGGTAGTGAGCAGAATAGTGGAGCTGGAAGAGAAGGACTTGAGTAGAATTGAAGGGGGACAAAGGGCAATTAGAACTTTGCTGGTTGTTTATAAGAGAATGGGTGTCAATAGTGTGTTATTATGAAGATTTTATCTTGGAATGTTAGAGAGCTGGGAAGGCCAGAAAAAAGGGGAAAAACAAAAAGCCTGGTGAGGGATAGAAGTGTTGATGTGCTCTTTCTACAGGAGACTAAAAGAAGTTATATGGATGATAATTTTGTGAAAACAATCTGGCCTTATGAAGAAGTGAAATTTATGGTGGTTGACTCTGAGGGTAGTGCAGGAGGCCTCATAAGTATTTGGAAGCCATAAGTCTTCAAGCTCAAGGATTGTTGCAGTAGCAAAAATTTCATTATTCTATCAGGTATGTCTAGTAATACTTTTCAGTGCACTCTGGTGAATATCTATGCTCCTAATGAGGTTATAAGGAGGAGACAACTGTGGGATTCTCTGGTGAGGATCCATCAACATTTTCCAAACCCGTGGTGTGTGGGAGGAGATTTTAATGAGATTAGATACATAGGTGAGAGGAAAGGTTGTTCATCTAGAGAAAGATGGATGAAGGATTTTAATGAGTTGGTGGAAAAATTAGAATTAACAGATTTGCCTTTGCTAGGAAGGCAGTATACTTGGTGCAATGCTCTGGATGGGAATAGGTGGAGTAGGATTGATAGATTCCTGTTAGACTTGAAGTGGATAAAAAAGTTTTCTTTTAAGCAATTGGGTCTACCTAGGTCAATTTCTGACCACTGCCCAATCTTGATTAAGGAAGATGATAGGGATTGGGGTCCAAAACCTTTGAAATTTATAAATGCCTAGTTATCTCATAAACCATTCATGTCAGAAGTCAAAAAGAGGTGGGAGGAAGCTCAAGTTCAAGGGTGGGCTGGGTTTAGAGATGAAAAAACTGAATATGCTTAGGAGTCACTTAAGGGTGTGGAATAAGGAGGTGTTTGGCAATATAGACACTCAGTTAAAGGCAACAGAGGAGGAGCTACAGGAATGGGATTTGAAGGCAGAGTCTAGGTCCCTTGAAGTTCAGGAACTCAAGCGAAGAAGAGAAGTTAGAAGCCAGGTGTGGCAGCTTAGTAGGAGTAAGGAAAGGTTATGGCATCAAAAGTCCAGACAGGTATGGGCTCATTCTGGAGATAAAAATACTAGGTACTTTCACATTATGGCAAGTAGAAGGCAGAGGAAAAATCTGTTAGACTCTCTTGTTGTGGAGGGTACATGGGTGGAGAATCCAGTTCTGGTGAAACAAGAAGTGGCTAAGCACTTCAATGTGTTGTTCTCTGAGAATTGGAAGGTTAGGCCCAAAATTCTAGGCCCTTTTGCTGTTATTAGTACTGTGGATGTTGGCAACTTGGAAATTGAGTTCTTAGAAGATGAGGCATGGAATGCAGTAAAGGATTGTGATGGGAGCAAAGCACCAGGCCCAGATGGTTTTAATCTGAAGTGCATTCAACAGTGCTGGTCTATATTGAAAGGGGAGATACTACAAATGGTGAATGAATTTTACCAAAATGGTAAGCTGCCTGAAGAGGTCAATAGTTCTTTCATTACACTGATTCCGAAGAAGGATAATCCAGTAGGAATGGGGGATTATAGACCTATAAGCCTAGTTAGCTCGGTCTATAAAATTTTGGCAAAGGTGCTTTCTAGAAGACTGTAGAGAGTTCTGCCATCAGTGATTAGTGAAGTACAGTTTGCTTTTGTGAGTGGAAGGTACATTTTAGATGGTGTGCTAATAGCCAATGAAGTTGTAGATGCATGGAAAAGATCAAGAAAGAAAGGTGTTATCCTAAAATTAGACTTCGAAAAAGCTTATGACTCAATTAATTAGGAGTTTCTGTGGTCGATGTTGAACAACTTTGGTTTTGGTGAGAAATGGATAGGCTGGATGAGGACTTGTGTTTCTACAACCAAGGTGTCTGTTTTGGTTAATGGCTCACCCACAGACAAATTTCAGCCACAGAAGGAGCTTCGGCAGGGTGATCCCCTTTCACCTTTTTTGTTCATTATTGCAGCTGAAGCTCTCAATCTACTATTGGTTAGGGCAGTGGGGATAGGCCTGTTTAGAGGTGCCTCAGTAGGAGGTAATGATCTGCGAATTTCACATCTTCAATTTGCAGATGATACAATAGTGTTTTGTGAAGGTGGTATGGAGGAGGTGCTAAATATTGAAAGGTTGTTGAGGTGTTTTAAAGTGATATCCGGTTTGAAAATCAATTATCATAAGAGTGTAGTGTGCGGTGTGGGTTTTCAAGAGGAGGAAATTTTGGGTTTGGCTCAAAGACTGAATTGTATCTCTAAGAAATTACCTTTTAACTTTTTAGGTATGCCTCTAGGGGCCAATCCTAAGTGGAAGAGCACCTGGAGTCCAATAGTGGAGAAGGTGAGAAAGAAGTTGTCATCTTGGAAAAGAAAACTACTCTCTTTTGCCGGGCCTTTGACCTTGATTAAATCAGTTCTCACTAATTTACCTATCTACTTTCTCTCTATTTTCAAAATGCCTAAGGGGATTGTTAAGGCTTTGGTCAAAATTCAGTCCAATTTTCTGTGGAGTGGATCAGATACAAAGAGGAGTGTTCATTTGGTAGGTTCGGGTGAGGTAACAAAAAGCAAAAATCAAGGGGGTTTGGGGGTGAGGGATTTGGGTGAGGTGAATGAGTGTCTGTTGCTGAAATGGTGGTGAAGATATGGTGTAAAGGATGAAGTCTTGTGGAAATTGGTGGTATGCTCAAAATATGGCAGATTTGGAGGGGGTTGGGTGCCATCTATGGAAAGCACAGATGGGGTGTCCACTGTGTGGAAAGATATAGTGCAGCTCAATTCAATAAACCAGCCTATGGGTGAATACTATGAATAAAACCTAAAGTTATCAGTGGGTAATGGAAAGAGGATTCAGTTTTGGACAGATGCTTGGCTTAATGGTAGAAGTTTGAAGGAGGATTACCCCAGATTGTATAGCCTATCCACTGAGAAGGAAGAATCCTTATTGCAAATAAGTGCAAAAAAGAGTCTTGGGGTATGGCAATTTCAATTTAGAAGACGTCTGCTGGCTTGGGAGGATGAGGAAGTGAAGAGGCTGTCCGGATTTCTGGAATCATCTCCTGCACTCAGGGAGGAAATTGAAGACTCTTGTTCCTGGCTTGCAGATAAATCTGGGAAGTTTTCAGTATCCTCAGTATGGTGCTGGTGGGCTGCAGTTAAAGAATCAGGTGTGAGGGTGCCAGCTGGGGTGTGGGAAAGTATGGCATCTCCAAAGATGCAATTCTTCTGCTGGTTGGCTTGGAGAGGCAGAGTAAAGACTTCGTCATTCCTACATAGGATTGGGGTCTTACCTGCCAATGCAGTGTCCCAGTGTGTGTTCTGTCAGAGTGAGGAGGAGTCTTTGGAGCATGTGTTTTTGTTCTGTCCTCTGGTTTGGAATTGCTGGGCAGCCATGGTCAGTTGGTGGGATCAGTCTTAGGTAATTCCGGGCTCAGTGGAGGGTTTGCTAAAGTTGTGGGTTGTGGGTAAAGGGAAGTCTTGGACTTCTAGAGCTTGGCAGGCTATCCCTTCTCTCGTGTTGTGGTCGGTTTGGAAATTAAGGAATGAATGTTTGTTTAAGGGTGTTGCACCAGACTTTGGAGGATTAAGCGAGAGAATGAAAGTTCAAATAGCACTGTGAGTAAAATGGTTTTTCAAGGTGGACTATTCAGTTCACGATCCGGTATCCAATTTGCACCAGATAAGACTGCATGCTTGAAGTCTTCGTAGGCATTAAGTGGCGGCAGGCTGTGTTGCTCAGCTATGGTATGTTTGTAGACATATCACAGATTTGTTTTGAAGTCATAGTGGGAGCAACATTCAGATTTGGTGTAGGGTGATTTGTCTTCTTCTGTGAGATGGTTGTTTGACACTGTTGTGCTTTTGGTTGCTCTGCTGTGAGCTGGTTGTTATACTGTGTTCTACTTTGTTTTCTGCTGCTTGTTTTGCTTTCAATTCTTCTTTCCTTTTCTTGTTGGTTTCTCACCAACTGGAGCTTCGAGCTTTTTTAGCTCGGAGCTCCTCTTTATTGATGTCTTTCTCAACTTTGTTTCGTTCCATCAATAAAGATCTATTTTGCCCATCAAAAAAAAAAAAAATTACAATATATATACAAAAATTAAAAATTAAAAACTTGTTTAATATCTATTTTATTTCCAAAAAATAAAAATAATTTATAAAATTTACTAGTAAAGAAATTCAAATTTACTAAAGAGAAAATTCATATGGACATTCAATCCAAAAGTCCATTTTATAAAATTGTATGATCATTGCAGCAGTACTGTTGTAGGCTCTGTTTTTTTGTTGTTTTTTTTCTGTTTTTTTGGTTCCTTCTGATTGGCTTCTCACCAATCTTTGGGTTAGTGCTCGCATTTGCACTTTCCATATTTATTGATGTAAGTTCTAACATATTTTGCTTTCTTCATTAATAAAGTTTCATTTTGCCGATAAAAAAAAATATATCGAAGTGCTAAAATATTTTATCCGTAAGGACATGAGTCAAAAAGACCAAAATACCTAGGGTATAAATGAATGTTTTCCCAAACCCTTCTCTCTCCAATTTTTTTTTTTTGAACAATCTCTCTCTCTCTCTCTCTTTCTCACACACACACACACACACATACACACACACACACACTAGCACATACACATATTTCTAGAAATTTCTCTCTATCTCTCTCTCTTTGGCATAAAAAGTATCCAAATTGAACAGATAATAGAATTGAGGGAAAAATTGAACAGATTGATAGAATTTATGAGAAAAATTGAACAGATAGGGGAAAAAATGAACAAATAGTTAAAAATTTTGAATAGACAGATATAAATTTGAATATGTAGACAAAATTTAAACAAATAGATATAAATTTGAACAGATAATCAATAAAAAGTCAAAACACATCAAAGGAAAAAAAAATGAAGTCGAGGTAAAATTGAAAACAAAATGTCTTCTAAGAATGGTCACCAAATTATTTTATAAGCGTAAACTTCTCACTAACAAAAAATATTCATTAGACTTAATATCTTACACCCTTCTTAAATTAGATTTATCACTAATTTTCTCAGTTCATATTTGTTGGTAAATTATTTTATTTATAATTTATAATCTTTACTAGTAAATTTTTATAGACTATTTTGTCATATCCAATAAAGATAATTTACTACTATAATTGCTTTACTAGTAAATGTGAATTTCTTATACTTTAGGCATCAATAAAAATAAAAATAAAAAACCAAATGTTTAAATTTTTTTTGATAGAGAATGTTTAAATCGAATACGAGTATTGAATACATATTTTAAATTCTTGCCCTTATCATATACAGTAAACAAGAATTCTTCGTCAAAAATAAAACATTCCATATAACACACTTGAGCAACAAATCCGCTCTGGTTTCGTCTCGGGAAATGCAAGACGTCTCAATCATACAAAGTAAAGAGATGCAGTCAATGCCAGGCATAATGACTAATAAGGACCGCAAAATCATTCGACTCTCATTCTCTATTATACTTAAATTACTTTAGTAGATGAACCGATAGACAAAGAGAGATTGAGATGGGAAAAAAATTGAATGAGAAAGAAGCAATAAAAAAACATGGGTAATGAGATCACCAAACTGTTCATGAAGCAGGCCGAAGGGTGGTAGTTTCATTGAATTGTTCTGTATTTTCATCAGCAGCTGAACATGTCAACCATTTTATCATATTATCATATCACCACACACACACACACAAATGCGCACACACATACACACACAAAACAAAAACAAAAAAAGAGACACTGTGGGCTTGTTTGGTTTGTTTTTGGGAGAATTGTTTTTGAAAAAAAATTTGGGGAGAGAATTTAGAAATTTTTTTGGTTTGTTTGGAAAACTCAAACCAAACAATTTTTAAAAATTTTTTTTCTAAAACCCATCTCCCAAAGCATATCCTGTATGTTTATGTACTTTAAGTACTTGTGAATTTACATTACAATGTTCCATTTAAGCATATAATCATTTCGTGTGCATTACTCAATCATGCTTGGACTCACAGAAAAGCACATTAGGCCAAGTCATCAGAATATACCAGTAGTGATTTCTGATTTCTGGTGTACAATAAATTATAGAAAACAGTAAAATATTGCATCAAACACTAAGTTTAGGGCGGAAATCTGAGTTGACAAATCGTGTGGTAAATTCATCAGTACAAGCCATCCGAATCCGTTCAGGCGTTGCAGGATTATCAAGAGGAAACCAGTCGTTGTAACCTGCTTCTGCTCTTGCGGCTATAATGGCATCTTTGATGGCAAAGAAGACGGATGAAGCAAGAAAGAAGGGAGGCTCACCCACAGCTTTCGATGAACGGATGGCCGTTACATTTGGAGCATCCTGTCAGTTCGCCAAAAATATATATAAGCAATAGAACTTCCAGTTTGACTTTAGAAATAGGCAAAGCAAAGAACAAGGTCAATGAGATAATCCCAGATGTACTCAAACAACTAGGGTAAAAGAAACAAATATCAAAATTCAATTAATGTCAATAATTACCTGTATATTCGCAAAAGAATAATGCTATATGGAACAATTAGTATACTAACTAGTGTACCAATTGATGATGTGATAAAATTTAAGAGATTTTTGATATTTATAAAGTGATTAATAAGTGGGGTCAATAATAATGTCATAAATGATATTGGTACACTAGTTAGTACACTAAGTGGTGCATGTAGCACCACCATTCACAAAACTCAACACCCTCCTCCCTTCCCAATAAGAAAAGAAAGAAAAACAAACGAAACCCAAAAACAAAAACAAAAAAAATCATTTATTTGCAAAAATCAAGCCCACAAGATGGATTGGGAGGCCCAAATCCTTTTGAAAAATCCAAAAGTACAGTCTGTCATTAGATATCTCGTTTGTACACATCTTCTCCTTGTTTGCCAAGCCTCTAGTGAGTCACAAATTGAGTTTAGAAAGGTGATGATGCCATTATCAATGATTGATATATCAATCTCGGATCTCTCAATTTCTCTCTCTAGAATTTTGAGTCTCTTAATTTATTTAGCAAACTTTTCTCTCTCCACAATAAAAATTTACTTTACACCCAACATATTTTTGGTATTAGAGCCAAACCCCAATTGTTTCTACTCTTTATTCTAAACTGCCCATGGCAACAATTTCTAACACCACCACTTTCAAACTATACTCGAAATCTAATACCCATATTTTATGGAGAAATTTATGATTAGTGGTGTATTCAAATGAAGACCCTCGTTATTTCTCAAGATCTATGGGAGATAGTGGAGGTTGGTTTCCCTGTTCAAGGCGATCACGAAACATTAGCATCATTGATACAAGGCAAATAAAAGAAGTACAAAGAGAGAAGGGGAAAAAAAAAAAAGCTTCACTCAACATATAACAAGGGTAAGCGAATCTTTTTTCCTAGAATAGTAGGTGCAAAATATTCTAGAGATGCTTGGGAAATCTTGAAATAAGAATTTTAAGAATCTATAAAGGTCATCTCTATTAAACTTTAGTCTTTATGGCATGATCTTGATAATCTGACCATGAAAGAAAAAGAGACCATTCAACATTTTCCCATAAGAATTGCATAAATTATAAATCAAATAAGGAGTTATGGCTGTTCAAAAAAATAAAAATAAAAAACAAGAAGCTATGGAGGCACTATGCAAGAGAGAGAAATTGTTGAAAAAGTATAACCACATAACAGGGAACCAAAAATGCTTTGTCCAAATGGACAATTTTAATATCTTCCCAAGTCAAATTGGGAAATGGAAAGCGACAACCTGTGAAAGGCGAAGGGACTATTGCTAAGGCAACATGTATTGCATGGTTAAACAAGTATGATAGGCTGTGGAAGCCCAACAAAAAGTCCAGTGGTCCTGTAGAAGTGTCCATGGTAGTTTAGTAGTTAAGGATATTATGATAATTTCAGTTCTGCTGGACATGGGTTGTAGGATTGCCCATGGATTTTATTTTGAGTCAAGTTATTAAATGGGTCATTTTATGTGTTTTATTGTATCTAGAATAATCTTAGTAGTCAAAAGTCCAAATTTCCTATTTTGATACTGAAGTAGAATTAGAAAGTCATTAAAGTTCTTTATTATGATTGAAGTAGAATTCGAAATCATAGTGAGTCTAGAATATTAGTAGTTGCTAAATATTTCTATTTTCTAAATTTGAGTTATAGTCCTTATAAAATTAAGAGAATCTTTAGCCTATAAATATGTGTAATCCTAATGATTCAACAGAAGAGTTAATATTATGAAAATTTGATATTGTGTTCATGTCATTGATCACAGTGCTTAAAACAGCCACCCAGTAGCCCCTAAACGCTTGTGTTTTCATTCCTAAAACCCTACCCTTTTACAAACGCTTAAACTCCTATTTTTTAAATACTTTTGCTGCTACAAGATCTGACCAAATCTAGCCCTATAAGTCTAT